TGGGCGCCCGGCACACAAGAGCCGCATTAAAGCGTGTAAAGAGCCGCATGTGGCTCGCGAGCCCCGGCTTGCCGACCACTGCCTTAGGCCATAGAGATGATTGGAGCCATTCCAGTCTCTGATGAGCTCTATGGTCAGCCGGCGGAACCGTTGCCTGCATTCTCGGGTTCCCCGGTGGGATGGGAGAGCCCAAGAAAGCCTTGGAAGGTGCGGGAGGGGGGAACATCTCTTCCCGCTGCTTGTAAAAGTGATCCAGCTGAAAAAAAATTATATCAGGATGATGCCTGTAGCTGCAGGCATCATCCTGGTATAACCACTCAAGGTCCAGCAACATACCAGTACGTTGCTAGACCTTGTTGGGCATATATGTAATTATATATACTGTATATATATATATATACCATATGTACTTCAAAGAACTTAGATATATGATGAATTGAGTCTGTGGACCAATATGACCGCAATTCATTCTTTTTTGTAATGCCCATGTTGAGGGTTAGGCCAAAAAAAACTTTTCAATTCAGAAACCGTGATAGGTTTACATGCAAATTGTCTTGCAAGTACATCACTCTGTCTGTAGCTGCCGCCTGTCCACAGTGCAAGTACTGTGGGTGGTTGGCAAGTGGCAAAGAATATGTTACTAATATTCTACCATATATCTAGTTCCTTCTCCAAAATTACATCCACATTCAACTAAAAGACACAGAGTACATTCTTAAGCTGTTGGTGCCGAGTATATGCAAATATGCGGCCTCTTGGGAGGTGGGCCTTGCCACCGTGAGGCCGAATATTTGTGTACCCAAACCGAGTGCCAAGAGTGTGTGCCCTGCATGGTCATAGCACAGTTACCTTTACGATCATATGACCTCTGTGAAAGGCAATCACGGTGGTCACATGATCATAAACCCTACCCCACCTCCCGGCATCAGAAACCCCTTAAAGGGATGCGAAGCGTGGTGTTGAGGAGTTAAAGAATATGTAAACCCGAGATTTCATATTCCTGATATGTGCCCGCTGTACCATGTACTTGTATTTAAAAAGTATCCTGTTCTCTTTGCATTACTTCCTTTATACAGTTGTGTCCAAAATTATTCAACCCCCAATGCTGTAAAGGGGTTTAGGGACTATAGTGTACATTTGGAATTGTATTCAGAATCAAATCCTACAAGGACGTTGTAACTACCCAAATGCAACTAAAATGACATCAATTGTTTATGTAATACAGTAGTAAATGGTTCTTATGTGGTTTCTTCATTGCCACAATTATTCAACCCCTTAAAGACTACCACTCTGAAGAACAGAGGTTCATACAGGTGCTTTCCATCAGGTATTGAAAACACCTGTGGATGTCACCGAGCAGCAATCAAGCATAATAAGCACCAATTAGGCAGCTTTTAAAATGACTGTGATACTCAGCTCCTTCTAGACATTTACTGGTGTGGTTACAAACATGGTGAAGGCAAGAGAATGGTCCAGGAAGACAAGAGAAGAGGTGATTTCTCTTCACAGGAAGGGCAATGGCTATAAGAAGATTGCAAAGATGTTAAACATACCAAGAGACACCTTAGGAAGCATCATTCGCAAATTCAAGGCAAAGGGCACTGTTGAAACGCTACCTGGTCGTGGCAGAAAGAAGATGCTGACTTCGACTGCTGTGCGCTACCTGAAGCGTAGAGTGGAGAGAAGTCCCCGTGTGACTGCTGAGGAACTGAGAAAAGATTTGTCAGATGTGGGTACAGAAGTTTCAGCCCAGACAATAAGACGCACACTGCGTAATGAAGGCCTCCGTGCCAGAACTCCCAGGCGTACCCCCTTGCTGTCTCCAAAGAATAAGAAGAGTCGACTGCAGTATGCCAAAAGCCATGTGGACAAACCACAAAAGTTGTGGGATAGTGTTCTGTGGACTGATGAAACAAAATTAGAACTGTTTGGGCCCATGGATCAACGCTATGTTTGGAGGAGGAAGAACAAGGCCTATGATGAAAAGAACACCTTGCCTACTGTGAAGCATGGTGGAGGGTCAATCATGCTTTGGGGCTGTTTTTGCTTCTGCAGGTACAGGGAAGCTTCAGCGTGTGCAAGGTACCATGAATTCTCTTCAGTACCAGGAGATATTGGATGGAAACGTGATGCAGTCCGTCACACACCTGAGGCTTGGGAGACGTTGGACCTTTCAACAGGACAATGATCCCAAGCATACCTCCAAGTCCACTAGAGCATGGTTGCAGAGGAAAGGCTGGAACATTTTGGAGTGGCCATCGCAGTCACCAGACTTAAATCCGATTGAGAACCTCTGGTGGGACTTAAAGAAAGCAGTTGCAGTGCGCAAGCCTAAGAATGTGACTGAACTGGAGGCCTTTGCCCATGAAGAATGGGCGAAGATACCCGTAGATCGCTGCAAGACACTTGTGTCAAGCTATGCTTCACGTTTAAAAGCTGTTATAACTGTAAAAGGATGCTGTACTAAGTACTAAGATTGAATGTCACTTGGGGGTTGAATAAAACTGATAATGCTGTGAGCACAGAAAAGACATTTGTGGTTATTTCATTATAACTGTTATGTTATATTTGTCTGACCTACAAGTGCCTCTTTAATGTAAATGTAAGCAAGATGACTGAATGATCAAAAGCAATGTCAAACTGGCCAAAACACTCAATTTCAGTGGGGGTTGAATAATTTTGGACACAACTGTATGAAATGCTTGGTGTTCCTGCCAGTCCCTTTACTTTATTATTACAAACTGACCCTACTAGGCATGGGAGCACAGCATGGTCAGTTTTCCTGCTGTGCTGAAAACTCAGCCTGCTCTCCTCCATTGATCAGACCTGTGCTGACATACCCCCTCTGCACAGCCATTTACTGGGAATATCTGCTGATGTTTCTCCTCCCCTAGTTCTCCGAGATTCTTATGCAGTTGAGGACAGAGGTTATGAGATCACTTATAAAAAGGAATAAAGGTATTTGTAATGTTTTTTATACTTATGCACAAATGTTTTGCCTTTTATTTTTAACTTAATTTTTTAAAAGGTGAGGGTTCACATATACTTACATTTTTTCTAGTAGTTACTCGGTCCTCAGTAGTTCACCAGTCTCTTTCACATTCTCAGATCTTGGGACCTCAATGCAAATTGCAAGCACTACAACCTTCTCCACTGCTACATCAAGCAAGTGATACAAGAGGTGGTCTAGTAGTAAGAGTAAAAAAAAACCCCATATAACAGTAGCATTAGTAATAATAATGACCATCATAATATTTTATTTTATAACTTAATTGTCAGTACTCCTGCACACAATGAGCCTTGGTTCACAGAGGTGTGGTTTTTAATGCGATTTGAAGTGAAGAAATCGCAAAAGATGAGGAATAAAATGAAAGGTGTTCATATACTGTATATGTGGTTGAGCTCCACTGAATTTTGAAGAAAGGGTCATGTGTGAGTTTGGTTAGTGTGATCTGTTTTTGCAATCATACAGACTTGAAACGAAGTTGCATGGGAAACACAGCTGTAGGAAAATTGCATCAAAACGCACTGTTTTTTTAAACAGAACTGCACCGCATGAGCTCCCAGAATCGCATTAGAAAATGAAAAAAAGACCGATTTTAAACTGTGTATGTGTGAACCTTGAAGTTTCAGTAGAAACTTCTTTAAATATATATATTTATTTTTTTTTTTTTTGCACAACTCCAAACAGCTATCTTGTACGTTTTTACCTGAGGAGATACTCTAGAATTTTTTAAAAGCCTGATGAAAACTGTGTTAAGCATACAGGGTTGATTTCAGTGCTGAAGCTCTGAGGGCAATAACTGCACTTGCAAAATAATTTAGTGTTGCGCTAAGTGTAACCAAACAATTGTAAACAAATAAATTAATTAAATAATAAGTGGACAATAAAGTGCTCAAAACTCCTCAAGTGAAATCAAGCACAGACCGTCCATATAATAAACAGTAAAGTGCTCAAAATCCACATGAGTGAAACCAATCATGTGGATTTTGAGCACTTTACTGTTTATTCCTGCAATCAATAGTGAAAATTCTTAATTCCAACAAAACCACCAATGTGAATGGCCACCACCGTATTATCAAATCGGAGGCTTACCAGATCGTCAAACCCGTTCATTATAGTGGGTGATAACGTGCTCAATGTGCTCTATTACTTCTGTGAGGGATCTATTGTTGATTGCTGGAGGATCTAATTATGCTGGGAGTCTGTTGTTGCTAGAGGGGGTTTATTTTTGGTGGAGTGGTTCTTTTGTGCTGAGGGGTCTATTGTTGCTGGAAAATCTATTAATCCTGGGAGGATTTATTGTTGCTGGCTGCAGGGGATCTATTTTACTGTTTTTCTTGTTTTCATTTTAAAAATTCTATACAAATTACTTTGCACTCCAAGATGTAACTTGGTTCTGTATTCTTTAAAAGGAGCAGTACAGGGAGGTTGGTAGGGAGTGGAATCAAGGGACAGTGCTCAAATGTGTAGTGAGCAAACAAAAGGGTGTCTAGGAAGGCGGTAGTACCTACACCCAATCACCCAAAAGCCTGATTATATCTACTGTAGTGTATAGTGTCATAGGTACAGACACATCATACTGCCCTCAGGTCACCCACATACTGCAGGGTTTAGTAGATGCTCTGGTATAAGCTGCTAACATTTTTCATGGCAGATGCACAATCCAAAAAGCTTTGCATGGCATCTAAATAGAAATGGAGAAGAATATTCTGGGTAGTGATTTCCAAGGTATAATCTTGAAGGACACATGTTTTCCTGCTTTTATATGGGAACATCAGCTGCTCTGAACAAATTCAAAGCACCTGAACATCCAATATCCATTAATCTGAGAAATAAAGGGGTTGATGAGAAAAAACTGAAGCCAAGTAACTTTACAAGAATATCTGTTTGTGCACCTTATTATCATAGGATGCTGCAGTGTAGCTTCATAGATACCCTGTCTACATACTACGATATTCATTTATGTACAGTTGTTTGCATACTCTGGTAGAAATATTGGCATTGATATTGAAAATATGACTGATCATACCAGGGGCGGACTGACAACTCATTTGGGCCCCCGGGCAATAGGGGATCATGGGGCCCCTGTGTCCTCACCCACACACAAACCACACCCAAAATAGCCTATGAAAGGTACCAGGGGCATCTCATGGGACCCCCTACTGACTCAGGGCCCTTGGGCAGTGCCCGAGTGCCCGAATGGTCAGTCCGCCCCTGGATCATACCAAAAAAGCTTTTATTTAAGGATAGTAATCATATGAAGTCATTTATTATCATGTATTATCATATAGTTGTTTGGCTCCTTTTTAAACCCTAATAATAACAGAAATCACCCAAATGGCCATGATCAAAAATTTACATACCCTGGAATGTTTGGCCTTGGTACAGTCACACAAGGTGACCCACACGGGTTAAAATTGCAGTTAAAGGTTCATTTCCCATATCTGTGGTTTTTTAAATTGCAGTTAATGCCTGTGTAAGAATAGTCAATGAGTTTGCTAGCTGTTGCATGGAAGCACTGAGCAGGCAAGATACTGAGCCATGGGAAGCAGAAAAGAACTGTCAAAAGACCTGCATAACAAGGTAATGGAACTTTGTAAAGATGGAAAAGGATATAAAAAGATATCCAAAGCTTTCAATATGCCAGTCAGTACTGTTCAATCGCTTATTAAGAAGTGGAAAATTCAGGGATCTCTTGATACCAAGCCAAGCTCACATAGTCCAAGAAAGATTGCAGCCACAACTGTCAGAAGAATTGTTTCAGATACAAAGAAAAACCCACAGATAACCTCAGGAGAAGTGCAGACTGCTCTGGAAAAAGATGGTGTGGTTGTTTAACCTCCCTGGCGGTATGATCATGTCAGGAATTTTGTGCTGAAAGCGGTACCATTTTTTTGCATGGAAATATGTAGTTTTTAATTGTAGGCTGTAATTTTTAGGAATAACTCACTGAAATCTATCCGAAAAAGAGTCTATTAAACATTCCGGATATGATAAAACTTGAAACACGAAATCATAAATTATAATTTAATAAATAATCATAAAAAATAATAATATAATAATAAATTTAATTCAATAATATAATCAAACCAAAAACACTGAAATTTGAAATACAGAGGCAAATTCGCACATCGCTGAGCAAAGTCGCAAAATCGTTTTCAGTGTCTGATGACGAATTTCCCCACGAATCATTATCACTCAATTCTGCAAGTGGTTCTGATTTACTATCGCTGTTCTAAAACCACTTTTGACGTAAAGGGATGCTTTTTGGCCGCCATGGACTTTTCTAAGTTTCCAGGCAGAAAGAACAGTCAAAATGCAGGCAGGGCACAGGACAAAGCAGTGGGGACAAAATGTATGTGAAATGCAGTGAAAAAGCAATGACAGCAAAAATGTCATTTTTTAAAAATTTCAAATTTCCCGCCGGTTCCGCCGCCCGAACGTTCCGACGTCACGGGGACCGGAACACGGAAGCCAGATGCCGGCATCCGCCGGAGGAGATGGACGGGGACGCTGCAGGGGACACATCGTGGGAGCGAAGGACAAGGTAAGTGCTGCAGGGACCCCCAAAGAACACTGCATGGTAAGCCCGAGTGTAGCTCGGGGTTACCGTTCTTGGTATAGAAATTCTACCCCGAGCTACACTCGGGAAAACCGCCAAGGAGGTTAAAGGAGCACAATACAATGATACTTGAACACAAATTAGCTTAGTGGTCGAGTTGCCAGAAAAGAAGCTCAGTTGCAATATGCCCTACAACACCTTGATGCATCTCACAGCTTCTGGCACACTGTAATCTGGGGTTGACAAGAGCAAAATAGAGCTTTATGGTCACAACCAAAAGCACTATGTTAGGAGAGGGGTACGTAAGACCTATAGTGACAAGAATACCATCCCCAATGTGAAGCATTGTGGTGGCTCACTGATGTTTTGGGTGCGTGTGAGCTCTAAAGGCACAGGGAAGCTTGTGAAAATTGATGGCAAGATGAATGCAGCATGTTATCAGAAAATACTGGCAGACAATTTGCATTCTTCTGCATGAAAGCTGCACATGGGACACTCTTGGACAATAACCCTAAGCACAGGGCCAAGTTGACCCTCCAGTGGTTACAGCAAAAAAAGGTGAAGGTTCCGGAGTGGCCATAACAGTCTCCTGACCTTAAAATCATCAAGCCACTCTGGGGAGATCTCAAACGTGCGGTTCATGCAAGACAACAAAAGACTTTGCATGACCTGTAGGCATTTTGCCGAGTCAAATGGGCAGCTATACCACTTGCAAGAATTGAGCGCCTTGTAGACAAGGGGGAAATACACAATATTCAGAACTAGCGGTATGCAGATTTTTGAACAGGGGTCATTTAATTTATTTAGTTGTTGCCATTTTTTATTTTATGATTGTGCCATTCTGTTATGACCTACAGTTGAATATGAATACCATAAGAAATAAAAAAAATGTGTTTTGACTGCTCACTCGTGTGTTCTTTACAAATGGTACAGAGTGTACCAATTCTCCAAGGGTATGCAAACCTTTGAGCACAACTGTACCATAATAGTTTCAGTGGTTTCAACCACGGTGCAGTCATATGAATCCATATGTGTGAATTGTTTCAAAATATTGACTATTGTTTTATTAATATAAATATTATCAAGGGAACACAATAAAAGTATACAGTTTCTCTGCAAAGCCGATAATATTGTATATACCGTATGTTGATTATACCTAAAGGACTGCATGCTTTTCTACAAGACAGGTACCAGTCTAAGCATATGTCAGTTTGCATTGTTCTAATATATTTTATTTAGTCATGTGCTGTAAAAGTGGTTACCTTTTTTTTTACAATCTGCAACATTGTTCACATGGTATTTCTTTACTGTTGTGTATGTACAGTCATGGCCAAAAATATTGCCACCCCAGCATTTCTGTCAATAATAATGCAGCACTTCGCCCAGAAAATTGTTGTATTTACAAATGTTTAGGCATTCTCGTGTTTAATTCTTTTGTTTGTATTGGTATGACACAACAAAGTGGAGAAACAAAAATCCAAATCTGAAACATTCCGCTCAAACCCCGCAAAAATCCATTTTTTTATGAGACAGTACAGATCTCATCAGGACAGACCCTTCCCAGTACAGACCCCCTTTTAGTACAACCCTCCTCAGGACAGACACCCTTTCCCAGCCTAACCCTTCAGTGCAGACCTGCACTACAGACCCCTTGCCATCCCAACCCCTCAGTACAGTCCCCCAGTATAGGTCCCCTCTGATCCTAACCCCACAGTACAGACTCCCTCCAGCCTAATCCCTCAGTACAGACACCCCCAAGGACAGACCCCCCGCCAAGCCTAACCCCTCTGTACAGACCCCGCCCCAAATATAGACACTCCCATTACAGACCTTCTCAGAACAGACATCCCCCAGCCTAACCTCACAGGCCAGACAATTCCCCCAAGTACAGGCACTCCCCCCAAGTAAAGTACACTCCCAGTACAGAACCCTCAGTACAGACAATCCCAGTACAGACATCCCCCAGAAACAGACCCCCTTCAGTATAGCCCCTCTCCCAGCCAAACCATTTTGAACAGCTCCCAGGACAAACACCCCCTTCCAGCTGAACCGTTCAGTACTGACCTCCCAGTACAGCCTCTCTTCCAACCTAACATCTTCCTATAGACCTCCTCAGTACAGACCCGTAGGTACAGACCCCTGAAGTACAGCTCCCCTGACTTCTCCTCAGTACAGATCCCAAGTGTAGACTGCCATCCCAGCCCAACCCCTCAGTACAGACCCTCCAGTACAGAGCTTCTCAGTTCAGACCACCCCCAGTGCAGACCCTCCCCAGTACAGATCCCCCCTTCCAGCCTCACCCTTCTGTAAAGACTCCCAGTACAAATGGTCTCTCCCAGGCTAATCCTTCAGTATACACCCCCTGTACTGCCCCCTTCCATCGTAACCCCTCAATAAAGATCCCTCAGTACAGCCCCCTTCTCAGCTTAACAGCTTAACATAGAGCTCACCGGTACAAACCCCCAAAGCACAGCCTTCCCAGCCTAACCCCTCAGTACAGAGACCCCTCTCAGTCTAACACTTCAGTACAGACTCCTCAGTACAAATGCCCTCTCCCAGCCTCACCCTTCAGTACAAACTCTTTCAGTACAGAGCACGGCAGAAAAGCTCCCTGGCCCAACCCAGCAGTACAGACTCCCCTTCCAGCCACCAGCACAGACCCCCCCAGATGCAGATGCCCGAAGTACAGCCTGTCACGATCACGGCGTCAGACCCCAGACCTTCTCACCCAAACTCGTGACCGAAGGGCTAGCCAATCTAAAACCGCGATGTGATGTGCGTAACAATGCCACACCCAGCTGCACCCTGTACAACGATTTTCCAGCTAATGGATACAGATCGATGTACCGCAGCCTGAGCGATTGTTACTGGGTCAGGTTAATTACGCAATTAACCCTTCACACTGCCACCACCTCCTTTTTCTACAGAGAAAGAGGAAACTCGGCGTTATTAGCTATAACACTATAATGATTGAGATAATCGTCTGTATACAGAGGTTTATACAGAGGTTTAAACGACCACAGTAGCGTCTCTTTAGAGGAAGGAATTCATGAGTTGCAATACAGAGCTATAGAAACAGTTCAACACTTTCAGAAAGAAAGATTTATTACTAAAAGGTCAAACAGGAGCAATAAAAATATTTACAGAACAAAGATGTAACTAAGATATATATATAAATATACAAAGAACCATAGCACAGCAAAGAGGTATCAGAGAGAGGTGAAAGGGTTAAAGTACTTGCCAGTCCTGGGTTAGCAGATCCAAGTTTCAGAGCAAAAGGGCATGGGTCTCTCCAGGTCGTATTGATGTTAAAATGGGAGACGTCTTCAACTTCTTCCTCTTAGGCCTGACAGCCTGTTTTAAAGTCCCCAGCAGGGGGGTGGCTCTGCAGTCAAGGGCCAATCTCCACTTAGGGCGGTGAAATATGGGTGGATGCCTCAACTAGAGCAAAAATCTCCCATAACTCATATTTGCCTATAACGTTTCATCTGCACAAGTGACAGTCCACCCACGGGTAGATTATTATGCAGACAAATCTAAGGATTAATTAGATATGAATTAGGAAATTATA